ATGGCCAGCCTGGGCTGCATAATGATACTTTGTCTCAAAATTAAAGCAAACTTAAGTCTTTGATAGATAAGTAACGGTTTACAACAAGGGATAACATCTACAAATATAGAGAGAGTGCCCTAATCAACACAGAAAAAAAAATTGATGTTCCTCAGTGCAATGAGGGACAGAGTGGAGGCTCATTATGAGGAAGTGAATACTAGGGCCAACCAGCTTATGAAACTTTGTGTAAGGCTTCAGGGAGGAGAGTGGTGCCAACGACGGCGGTATAAAATCTAAGGAGGCTCAGACTGTCCAGGTGGGGCATGTATAGGTCGGTTCTGAGGTGAATACCCGTTTACATCTGTAAAGGCACAGAGCCCTCCTTGAGGGTGGGAGAATCGTATTCCACAGGTACTGACTTTGGCACAGTGCCTGCATTTTTGGGAGTTGATCCTAAAGCAGCGATTAAGCGAAGGGGCCAGGAAAGACATCCCAGGACAACTTTACAGAATCAGGAAATGAGAAAGGGAACCAGGCACTGTGGTTCACACCTGCAGTCCCAGCCCTCAGGCAGAGCATGGAGGGTTCCAGACCTATCTGGGCTAATTAGTGAGATCCTGTCTCAAAACAAACAAACAAACAAACAGCTATGCCAGAGATGCCTGTGTGGCAGCATGCTTGTCCAGCCTGCAGTAAGCCCTGGGTTTGATCCCCAGTACTATCAACCAGCATGGACCAGCACATTTGGAGTGCAGGCACATGCCAGCCCTTGGGAGGCAGAGGCAGGAGGGCCAGCTCTTTAGGGTCATCCTTGGCTCGGCAGCAAGCTGGAGGCCAGTCCGGCTGGCGTGAGGCTGACTGGGATCCACCAGAGGGTTTGTTTTCTGATCTTGTCTCCGCCTTACTACCCTGGCTTCTGACTTGCGTGTGTTAGAGGATGACAAGGAACCGTATTGTTCATCAACCAGCCTCCTCTGCGATACCTGGGGAGATAATTTCCCACCAAAAGGATGGGGGGAGGCAGAGAGACAGAGACAAAGAGAGGGAGGGAGGGGCTACCCCTCAGAGGCAGGTGCATGCACGAGGCCCTGGGGTCCCTCCCATGTAATGCATGCTTCCTTCACCATCTTCCTTTGCACTAGATGCTGCTGAAGTTGAGGCTGGTAGTAGAGGCTGGACCATCACAGTTCCCTCCCCCTCTCTGGGTCTCAGGGTCTTTGTCTATTTATCCAGATGAATTTCAGTCTCCCATATCCAGGCTAGAGGTCTAGCCTTGGCAGAAGAAGGGCCTGGAGTCCTGCTGCCCTGGCCTATGGGCTACTGAAGCAGAGAGCCACACACCCTCACTGCTCAGACAGGCGTTCCTTCTGTCTCATCTGCCCAGCAGTGAACGAGTTGGCTGGCCTGGAAGTCCCTGTCCTCTGCCTTTGGCCCACGGTGGCGTGGCAGCAAGAGGGAGGGAAGAGGCTCATCTCCAGCTGGCCAGGGGGATAGGTCTTCGGTGCCCAAGAACCCCTCCCTCCCTGCCGGCCTGTCCACAGGGGCTTGGGATGAGCCAGGAAAGTCAGGCAGCTCACTAGAGCCAGGGGCCATGAGTTCCGTCCCTGGGTGCAGCACAGTGCCCAGCCCCACCCCTTGCTCTGTGTCCCCTCCACTGCTGAAGACTTTGACCTTGTGTTCCAGTCCCAGCTCGTGGGCCGAGGGCTGAAGTCAACACACCCCAGAATCAGGAGCATTCCTGCCAGAAACGGGAACCTGCAACCCCACACCCTTTCTTCTCCAGATACCCTGGCACTAGTGGTAAGTGGCAGATGTATGCTTGAGCTGGGGCAGGGGACAGGACAATGGGGTATCTTCCCCAGGTCAACAGCAGTGCTCGAGATTGATGACACAGGCAAGAATATATCCTATATCCTTCAGAGAGGTGGCACTGTGCCCCAGGGAGTCAGATAGGAAGGGCAAGGGAAGAGTGTCACCTCTCCAGGCCTCAGTTTCCCCCACTCTAGATCACTGAATAGCTTGTTTGTTTCTCGAGACAGGGTTTCTCTGTGTGGCCCTGGCTGTCCTGGAACTCGCCCTGTAGACCAGGCTGGCCTCGAACTCAAGAGATCAGCCTCTGTCTGCCTCCCGAGTGCTGGGGTTAAAGCTGTGCAACACCGCCCAGCTCAGAACACAGGGTCTTTGAACACAGTTCTTTACTATGCTGTTGATTTGGTGCACGCTGCACTCTGCATAGGGAAAACTTCTCTCAGGAGGGAAACACGGGCTGTCATGCTGAATGGCAGGAGCCGTCGCCATGCAAGGTGTCACACTTCCTGACGGGGTGAATGTGACAATTAGGAGGGGGATGGATATAAAATGCCTGGTGCTGAGCTGTGCCTAAAAGATATGCCCTAAAGGGTTCCTATCATTGCACCAAGGAGGGGGCTTGATTCTCAATAACTGTTGTACCAGTTTAAAGATGAACTAGAAACACCAACTACAGCCATATGGCAGAGCGTGGCAGAGCTCTGGCTATTTGGTTTTACCAGCCTTTCGTATTCTGTTAAGAGGATGTAACATCAGAGACACAAGCTGCCTCCTCCAATTGCTTTCTGGGGGACAAAGGTTATATGAGCAGAACCGCAGAAGGAAAAGTCAAGGCCAGCTGATCGCTGTCTGCTTAAATATTTCCAGAGCTCAGTGAGACACAGGCAGGCCCCACTGGATGAGGGCTGAGCACATCCCACACCGGCAGTGGGTGTGGCTGTCAGCTGTGCCTCCTCTCCTCCTTCAACTTCTGGACTGGTTCAGGATGGCAGCAGAGGCAATGGCCTAGAGCAGCTAGCTAACAGTAAGGGTTAGGGGTTGTGCTGTCTGCATTGTGTCTTACTGATGGTGAGGCCCAAATAGGCTCTCCTGTGCCATGCCTATGTTAACTTTATAGTCTCTCTCTGATAAATGCAATAACTCCACTGGTTCATCATCGAGCATACACACTCCAAGCATCCTTGGTTATAGTAATTGGCCATAACGCAGGAGAATTGCATCACTAGCATAAAAATGTCTGTGACCACAAGGAAACGGCTGACTTAGTAACAGAGCTGAGCACTCACAGGCCTAGAAGTTCATCACTGCATTCGTGGATGGCCTTGCCTGAGGCTGGGCCACGGCTTCTGCAGTCTGGCTGACTGATGCTGCCCGGTGCCTTCATCCTGTGCTCCAATGACAGCTACTCGTGTCAGAGTCAGGTGTGATTCTGGGGCAGCATGTGCTTTCCTCTTCTGGGCAGGCTGGGAGCTGTTTGCCCTTAACCAGTCAGGTCCAGTGACCCGGCCAGGCTCACACGATCAGTGTGTGTCAGAGCTAGGCTAAGCTGAGCCTGTCTGCCCTGCTAACCCAGCGTGCTGTGAGCGTCTGTGTACTGCAACTGTGCAGTACTGAGTACTGAGCACTGAGCACTGTGTACTGAGTACTGGGTACTGGGTACTATGTCCTGAAAGCCTACCAGGCACAGTAACATGAATCGCTGCAGAGCCTGGCACTGAATCCTCAGGACAGCTTATGAGAAAGAGTCGCTCTGGTTTTACCAATGAAGTGGTCTTGTCCTGGGGTGGGGGTGTGGATGGGGGATGGGAGCTTCTGCCCCCTACCTCGCCCTCCCCCTGTGACCCTCCCCCTCCCCACCAAGTGCAGACTTGAGGCTGCCGCTCTCTGCTAGAGGACTCAGTCCTCAATTTGGCGTCCCCAGCAGAGCTCAGCCTTTGTGGCCTGCAGCCATTCCCCCCTTGCAAAACTAGGCCATATTGAGAATGTTCTGCTGTTCAGGACCCGGGCCCCTGTTGCCAAGAGCCAGGGTTTGTGGGAGGCCAGCTGAGCACAGAGGAGGCGAAGTTGAGCTTGGCCCTTCCGGACACACACAATCCCCTTGTTCTGCCTCACAGGAGCTGGCTGAATGGTGCAAGGTCAAAAGCTGCTAGGCTTAAGCATCTGAAGGCGCGGCCAAGCTCAGGATCCTGAGGCAGGCCTGCTCCTCTGCCGGAAGAGCAAACTCTGAGGGCAGACCCTCCATCGCCCATGCGCAAAGCTGCATCAGCTTGCTGGCAGCCTGGCACGTAGTAGGGGTGCAGCAAATGTGTGCTGCAATTACCTGGTGGCGCTGTGTGTGTGAGGCACTCCATCCTTCCAGAGCCTCAGTTTTCCTATCTGTAGAATGGGACTAAGGGCAGCAAGCCTGATCACAGGAGGACACAGGAGACTTAGGCATGAGGGTATGTGGAGCTGTAGTTCTGGGGCTGGAGCACAGTAGGTGCTCCCTGAGTGTGGGAGCACCTCCTCTGTACTGGAGCTCTCTTGCAATCATTGTCACCCCTGCCTACCAGGCTGTAACTTAATAGCTTGCCCAGGGTTGACAGCCAGCAGGGTTGAACTCTACCATTTGAAGCTAGTACTCCTGACGCCTGGACAACACCAGTCCCAGGGGATCCGATGCCCTCTTCTGGCCTCCACAGTACCATGCACTCAGGTGCGCACACGCGCACACGCGCACACATGCACGCGCACGCACACGCACACACACGCGCGCGCACACGCACACACACGCGCACACACGCACACGCGCACACACACGCACGCGCACACACACACGCACGCACACACACGCACGCGCACACACACACGCACGCACATACACGCACGTGCGCACACACACGCACGCACACACACGCACGCGCGCACGCACACACACGCGCACACACGCACACACACACGCACGCACACACACACACGCACACACACACGCACGCACACACACACACACACACAAAGACATAGATCGTTTTTTAAAAACGATTGGGAGATTGCCTCTTACATTCTAGAATCTTGGACTCTTGGTCGTCACCAGTGGAAGGGGCTCGGCAGTGTGTCTGGTGCTCTCCAAGCCATCAGGAGTACACAGTGATGGCGGTGATGGCGGTGATGGCGGTGATGGCGGTGATGGCGGTGACCCTCAATGCACTCTCTGCCCCTACAGGTGGTGTGATGCGTGTGGTCGTGATTGGAGCGGGAGTCATTGGGCTGTCCACTGCCCTCTGCATTCATGAGCGTTTCAACCCTGTGCAGCCACTGGACATGAAGATCTACGCGGACCGCTTTACCCCGTTCACAACTAGTGACGTGGCTGCAGGGTTCTGGCAGCCCTATCTCTCGGACCCCAGAAACCCGCAGGAAGTGTGAGTTAGGGTCCCATGAAGTGGTCTGGGAGCCCATGAAGCTGAGCCCAGAGAGGGAGACTTTTATCTCGGTCCTCCTCACCAAGGACAGCTCTGACCCGACATCATGTGTCCCAGGGCACAGGGGTACAGGAGAGTGGGCTCTAAACTTGAGGTCAATGAGATTAAAGTGTACACATCCAGGCTAGTGCACCTGTCTGTCATTCTGTCACTCAGGAAGCAGAGGGAGGAGGCCCACTGCAAGCCAGAGATTAGCCTGGTCTAAAGTTCTGGGCTAGCCAAGAGAAACTCTGTATTAAAAAAAAATAAGTACGGAAAGAATGAAATAATAATAAATAATGAGCTGGGTAGCAGACACAGCTGTGGTTCCAGATCCCAGCAATGTCATCCTGGGCATTGTTGATCCCGTCTGGCAAGAATAAGTCTACTTCCACAGCTTTTGAGCCAAACCTGAAGCAAACAATTGTTGTTGTTGTTGTCATTGTGATCCAGGATAGTGTTTCTCTTTGTGGGCTATCTTGGAACTCACTCTGTAGACCAGGCTGGCCTCGAACTCAGAGAGATCCGCCTGCCCCTGCCTCCGGAGCGCTGGGATTCAATTGGGTCTAAAACTGATGCACAGGAAACAAAAGGAGAAAGGGAAAGGGGTCTCAGGTCCAGGTCGCCAAATTCCTTAAAGCTCTTCCTTGACCCAAACTCGGGTCCTACAGCAACGGGTGGAAGAAACCTCATGTGATCCTTCTCACTTACAGGGAATGGAACCAGCAGACCTTTGACCACCTCCTGAGCAGCATCCATTCCCCTCACGCAGAAAAGATGGGCTTGTCCCTAATCTCAGGCTACAATCTCTTCCAAGAAGAAGTTCCGGTGAGCCAGGAGTCCTTGGCCTTGAGGGCGATAAGCGATTGAGCAGAGCTAGAACCACATTGCCAAGGCTATCTCTTGGGGCATGTGGGGAAGACGGAGGAAGAGCTAAATGGGAGAGAAGGAAGCATGTTTTACGTCAGCAGGGTGGGGGTCTGGCTGATAGGGGCTGTAGGACTGTCCTTGCCTGAGGCAGCTAGCTGACCTTCCTGAAGGATTAGGGTGCTCCTCCCTGTCTGCTTTTCTAGTGAACAGAGCCCCACCTTTAGGCTTGTTTACCCAGAAACAATCCATCTGCTTACCCCATCAAAGTCCTCTGTTTAGGACAATGTCACCAGCACTGCCATTTGGGTGGGTGGGGATTTGGTCCTACTGGGGCACAGATGGGCCTGGGACCTTGAGATGGGGGAGTATTCAGAGGTCACACAGACTTGGGTCCAAATCCCATTTATTTATTTATTTATTTATTTATTTATTTATTTATTTTGGTGGGGTTGAGGATCAAAGCCTTGTGTCTTGTCACTGAGCTACACCCCAGCCTCAGGTCCACTGAGACCCCCTGTCTCTCTCCCACATGTGGACCCCACCATTTACTCCGATGCTAAGTGGAGTAAGAGGCATAGACTTGAGCCTGATTGTGTGAGTTCAAATCTCGCTCTCTACCTCTTAGCTATGCAACTTCAAACAAGTTACTTGACCTCTCTGGGGTCACTTGGCCTGATATGGACAGCATCCACCTCAGTGGCTGGTTGTGAAACAACTGAGCCAGATAAGTAAATGCCGCCTAATAGGTTTTCTGTAACTCGATCATAGGTTTCACACACACACACACACACACACACACACATTTAAACAGCAAAAGAACAGGTGTATTTGAGCCAAGCAACTCCTGGTGAGCACTCCAGTCCCAGAGACTGGTGCCAGAAAAGTCACACGGCCGAACTAAAGCAGGGAGCATAGACACCTGTGGGCGAGGGGTGATGACTTGTCCTCCACACACTGGGTTTGTGCCCACGTGTGGTCAAAGCTGACAGCTTTAGGCAGGGTCTTGGGCTGCTGGCAGGTGATGCAGCTCCAAGAATGCAGAACTGGACTTATTGTCACTTTTTCTTTGTTGGAGATCCTCTGAGAGGGTGGGGTTTAGAGAGAGGGAGAGGAACAAGAACAGGATTTCCCAATCAAGCAGGGATGAACTGGAGCTTCCGGCCGACTGTCTTTCACCCAGCAAACGTTCCGTGAGCTCCTGTTATCCTGATGGTCGAGTCCACCTACCCCTGTGACCCCGTCTCTGCTTCCTCCTCAGGACCCTTCCTGGAGAAACACCGTTCTGGGATTTCGGAAGCTGACTCCCAGAGAGATGGACATATTCCCTGATTATAAGTAAGATCCCTGTCATGGGCAGAGGCACTTCAGGCAGGACTGTCTAGAAGCAGTCAAAAACCAGAAACACCAATTTGCCATCCCCTCTCAGTCCTAGAGACTCTGGAACCCTGTCCTAATGATGTCTAGCCCCTTCTTGGGCTCCAGGTACACTGGGCATTTAAGCCATAGCATTCCACATTGTCAAACCACTCTCTCCATGAGGAAACAGAACCTCAGAAAGGCTAAGTGACTTCCCAGGGCCACAAAGTCATGTGACCTCACTGGGATTCCAGCTCAGCTAGTCTGCTTTCACAGTCCCGCCCCCTGGTCCTCTCTCCTCATTTGATAGCATCCCTATATCCCGGGATGCCACGGTTCCATGGGAAATTCCTCTTTGCATTGAGCTGAACTCCCACAGTCACTCCACAGATGCCACCTGGTGGCTCAGCTCTAGCCACTGTGGACTCACGGGAAAATACACAACCAACACTCACACCACAGATTCTGATCTCTTTTTCCTGCTGGTTCAACACTCTAGCTATGGCTGGTTCAACACAAGCTTGATTCTGGAGGGGAAGTGCTACTTGCCCTGGCTGACTGAGAGGTAAGACTGGAAGCTCCCAGGGGCCAAGCTGTGGAAGAGTAGTCAACACTGACCAATGCCAAAGATGTCCCGGGTGCCTTGTGGGGTGGGAGCTGTCCCTGGTCCTGATCACCACCATGGGCTGGGGCTTTGCACCCTAAAGAGAGAGCATCAAGCCATCTGGGCAGATTTTCTCCCCCCCCCCCCCCCCCGTCCATCTTCCCCTCCCCATCCCCCTCCCCCTCTCTGGTTTTTCTGGAACTTGCTCTGTAGACCAGGCTGTCCTCAAACTCACAGAGATCCACCTATATTTTATTAAAGTTTTTGAAAAACTCTGAAATGAATGGAGAATTTGGTGGTCAGGGAAGACCTTTTAAAATACAGATTTCAGGACGGTACTCCACATCTAAGTCAGAACCCCCACAGCAATGGTCCTGAATTTTGGCTTTCACCTTCGTCTTTTTGAGATAGGGTCTCACTATGTAGCCCTGGTAGGCCTGGAACTTTCTGTGTAGACCAGGCTGATGGAGCACTCACAGATATTCACCTATCTCTGTTTCCCAAGTGCTGGGATTAATGGCTCATGTCAAGTAGGCCTAGAATTTTGTATGTAAATAAGTGCTCTTGCGTGAGTATAGGTATCAGCCAAACTTGAGAATCATGTCCTGTGAGAGTTTTCCTGACAAGACACAACATGCACGCGCACACACACACACACACACACACTCACACACTCACACACCACACACACCTATTCACCCCAGATAGGGTACCCACAACATCCTAAGGTAAGTATTATCTCAAAGTCCAATGTGGTAAAACCAATGAATGTATGGAGTTAGTAACAGAGTGTGGGTGAGGAGTCATTACAGGAGCAGAATGACTTAAAGATGCTGCATCGTGAAAAACCAAAGTCCAGCACTTTGAGAGCTGCGGCCCTGGAACTCTCCGCTCATTCGGAGGCAGCCGCACCTCTGGGAGAGCCTCCCTGGGCTGCTCAGCTGGCCCGAGTCTCCTCCCTTAGCCGGTCATTGCTTGTGTAATCTTGGGGAGGGACCTCATGAATCTTGTGGTGTTTCACCTTCCCAGTCATGTGACGTTCTTAAATGTCATGAGTCTCAGGAGCCTCCCAACTCCTGCCAGGAGGGAATGTTACAAATCTGAGGGAATTGCAACAAGACAAACCATGTGCTGATGATAACTACTCTCGTTCTTGGGACATTGCGACACCTGACCAGCCTCTTCCCAGGTGTCCAGCGTGAAGAAATTATGTAGTTAGTACTCTTTCTGGGAGGGCCCTTTGGATAGGTATGGTTTCTAACTCTTTCTTTTAAAGGTCTGTTTATTCCATATACAGTGTTCTGCCTGCATACCCGAAGAAGGCACCAGATCTCATTATTATAGATGGCTGTGAGCCACCATGTGGGTGCTGGGAGTTGAACCTGGGACCCGTGGAAGCGCAGCCAGTGCTCTTAACCTCTGAGCCATCTCTCCAGCCTGGTGTCTAGCTCTTTTGATCAGGTTTCAGTGCAGGGATCAAACCCAGAGCCTGTCATAGTCTGGGCAGACAGGCCACACTGAGCCCTTCTCTGGAACATTCTAAGAGAGGGATGGGAGTCCCCGGGTTGGCTGTCTCTGGTGTCATGCTCTGACGAAGGTGCATTTGACACAGGTCCAACTCTGCCTCTCCTCCCCACCCCCCTAAAGTTCGTCCCTTTGATGTAAATCGATACGATAGCAGCAGAATGTGATCAGAGGAAGAGGCCTGGGTTCGCGTCCCCCTCTGTCAGCACACAGCTTGGTCCATGACTTTTAGGAAGACCCTTCTCCGTCTCTCAGTGAGGGTGCCTGTGAACGGCTGCATCGGGGCAGCTCCTGGGGCTGTGCCCCCCTGTGCTGCCCTCTGGGAGGGGTGTGGCAGAGAAGTGAGTTCGGGGCTGTTTTTACACGTCTCCTCATCCCAGGTTGACGGAGAGGGGAGTGCAGCTCTTCCATCGGAAGGTGGAATCTTTCGAAGAGGTGAGTGGCAGGGGTGTGGGGGATGGGTGCAGGAGGGAGGGAGGTCAGATGTTCCCTGCTGCTGTGTGGGAGACCCCGTCTTAGACTCTCGGGGTCCCTGCAGGAGGCCTTGGGCATTCTGAGGGAGGAGGTGTCTGCCTTGATATAGGTGGCATCAAGGGGGCCTGCTCTGTCTACCCCAGGTCTACTGCACTCCATGGTTCAGACCCCCCCACGCCTCCCACTGACACCTGGGTTGACACTCAGCTGGGGCCACAGGTATAGTGATGAGACCAGGGCCACCACATCCGTCAGCTCAGCTACGTGGCTTCATTTAGTCCCAGAATGCAGAATAATGCCCGGCCCAGAAAAGGTCAGCACATCTAAGTGCTGGTGCTGAGCTCCTTGGGGTCAGGTCTGGCCCTCATAGACACCTGGGCTCTGCGGTTGTCTCTGACAAAGCTCCCCTTCCCGGCGGTTCTAAGAGAGACCACACTTAGCCGTTTATGTGACCATGATGGTCTTTCCGGGAGTCACCAGAGATGGGCTGGAATCGTGGGGGCGCTTCCTTCAGTGTCTGAGTTGACAAGTGTCTCAGGCATAAGCTGAGCCGAAGCCAGCACCCTGGTAGAGAGAAGGAAGAGGATGGGCTCAGAAAGGGTCTGGTGGAGGATGGCTTAACATGAACTTCGCTTTAAGGTTTTAGTCTCAGTCTCTATGCAGCGGTCTCTCCTCAGGGCAACACAGCACCCTCACGGTGCCCTGTCAGCATTGTGGGCTTTGCTAGAAAATGCTTGTCAGTGTTGGTGCTGCACACTTTTACTCCCAGCACTTGGGAGGCAGAGGCAGGCGGATCTCTGTGAGTTCAAGGCCAGCCTGGTCTACAGAGCAAGTTCCAGCATAGCCAGGGCTACACAGAGAGACCCTGGAGAGAGAGAGAGAGAGAGAGAGAGAGAGAGAGAGAGAGAAGAAAATTATTGTCAAACGAGAGCAGAGGGTAGGTAGTTAAGCCCCAAGGAGCTGGGAGGACCCCGAAGCCAGGGTTGCTGGATGGATCTCTCCAGCACACCCTGCCCCAGTTCCCCAGGAAGCAGACAGCTATAGTGTAAGAGGCTGGAGGGGAGGAGCACAGTACAGTCCTCATTCTTTCCTGTCCCTTGACTTGTTCTGGCTGCCAGGTGGCAAGAGGGGGCGCTGATGTGATTATCAACTGCACAGGAGTGTGGGCTGGGGCACTGCAGGCAGACGCTTCACTGCAGCCCGGCCGGGGACAGATCATTCAGGTGAGACTGTGGCCAGTGGAAAGCTGGCCCTGCCTGTTCCCGCCACTCCAAAGCTGGTGGACAGGGCTGTTGAGTGACTCCCTGTTCTGTTCTGTTTTGACATTTCTTCCCCATAGCAAAGTGCACGAGGGAGCTATATCACAGGCCCGAGTTATAAAGAAAACAGCGAACCTTTATAAAGCGCCTATCAAGTGCCAGATGCGCACCTGAGCACTTTGCTGAGTTGATTATTTAGTCCTTGGCGCAGCCCTTTGAGATGGTCCCGGCACATCACACGGCCGCTTAGCTGAAGCACAGAGGTGTCGAGTAACAGATACAAGAATGCACAGCAGAAAACAGTGATTAGAGACCAGGTGTTAACCGGTGTGGGTGCCACCATTGTCCCATGGCTCTCGTGATGTATGGGGACATATGTGTACATGCTTGCCTATTTGTGGGCACACTGGTGGGCGCACCATGTGCACATGTGCGTTTACATGTGTGCAGGGATGTGTGTGTTCCTTGTGCGGGCTGGTGCCTGTGTGTGTGTTTCTGTGAGCTAAGGTTTCTGTACACACGTGTAAGGATGACACAGGATACTCCGGGGAGCAAGAGGAGCTGTCTGCCAGGTGACCCTCCTGCAGTCTTGGGCCAGGGGGTCACGAGAAGGCTGACCACTGAGGGGAACAGGCTAAAGGGGGAAACCACTGGACTGGCTCCCTGACAGGGTGTGTCTGCCTCGAATCTACAGGTGGAGGCTCCTTGGATGAAGCATTTTATCCTCACCCATGACCCAGGCCTGGGCATCTACAACTCCCCATACATCATCCCCGGGTAAATCTATATATGACTCATGTAAGATCACGGAGGGACATTTTCACGGCCTCTTAACCCTCACCGACCTGTCTTATAAACACGCTTGGGCAGTGAAGTGCCTGGGACAGTGGGTTTCCCCTTGATGGGACTTTGTCTTGAGCGAATCTGGTGGTAGTGGCACCAAGTCAGGACACCAAGAGCGGTTAGAATGGCAGCAGAGGGGGTGGGAAGAGCAATTGTGTCGATGGTGTTGGCCGTGGCGATGATGGCGTCTGTGTGGCAGTGTTGAGGGGACAGCCAGACTATGGGTGTTGAATGACAGTAGCCTGGCTATTGATGGAGAAAGATGATGCTGACCAGGGTGCTGACGGGTGTGGGGTGTGACTGGGTGCTGACGGGTGTGGGGTGTGATTGGGGAGTTGACGGGTGTTAAAGTGGTGATGTTAAGGAGATCAGCATCATTGATGGTGGTGGTGGTGATGGTGGAGATGTCAGTGTCACGATTTGGTGGCATGTAAATGATGATGGGGTTGACGCTGATGACATTGCTGGTCATGTGCTGCTGACTTCACATGACTTGTGGGTACCTGGACTCAGGTCCTGACTGCTGTGCTGCAAGTCCTTCACACACACACACACACACACACACACACACACACACCCCGCCAGACATCTCCTTTGTTGATAGAGAGGACGGTACAGTTGGCAATGAGGACGCTAAGGATGGGTGACACAGTGGGTTAATGGAGGCCACGGTGGCAGTGAGGTGGATGCGTTTGGCGGGGATTAAAATGCTGACAGGAATGGAGAGGACAGAGAGGGAGAAGAGGGGAGAGATGCCTCCATCTGCCAGGCTTCGTTTTCTTTAGTCCTCTTTATTTTAATCGAGGTCCAAGACAGTTACTCTCGGAGGCGTCTTCCAGCTGGGTAACTGGAACGAATTAAACAGTGTCCGTGACCACAACAGCATTTGGAAGAGCTGCTGCAAACTGGAGCCCACACTGAAGGTGAGGAGTGTCAGTGCCCTAGACCAGGGCAGCTTGGTCCTGATGGGAGGGTGTCTCTCCTGGGATGTTAGCCCTAGAGAGAGACTGGAGCACACAGCAGCGTTTGACAGTGTTCAGAGAAGTCCTCCGTTTTCACGTTTGCCCGGTCATGTGATACTGACAAGATCAGCAGGAGACAGTGTTGGGGACACATCTGCAGTGGTGGTGATGGTGACACGGTGGACACCATTGGAAACACCAGGACAGTGGCCGGTGGCGATTGTGGTCATTGTGATGGATGAGCTACCATGAGGTGGTAGAGGAGATATAGCTCAGGGGGTAAAGGACTTGCAACATGCATGCCAAGTGAAGACCTGAGCCTAGATTCCCAGAATTCATGTAAAATTCATGTACCTAAGGTTGTCTACTGATCTCCACTGTGGCATGTATAGACCTGAATATCATACACACACACACACACACACACACACACGCACGCACGCACACATGCACACGCACACACACTCATGCACGCGCATACGCGCACACACATGCACGCACGCATGCACACACGCACATGCACATGCACTCACATGCACACGCACGCACACGCACACGCATGTGCGCATGCACACACATGTACACACACGTACACATGCACAAACACACACACACGCACACGCACTCACAATCACCACAGTATGGTGACTTAAAGCTAACTCACAGCTACTTAGAATGTCAACAGAGGAAACTGTCCAGGTAAGTTGCCATCATATTTTCTTCCCCCAGAATGCAAGAATCATTGGGGAACTCACTGGCTTCCGGCCGGTCCGGCCTCAGGTTCGGCTAGAAAGAGAGCAGCTGCGTTTTGGATCTTTGAGTGCAGAGGTGCGTTGGGTCAAGGGAAGTGATACCTGCCCCAACTCCAACAATAACCCCGCCATTTCCCGGGAAACGTCCCTGAGATCGGGTGGTGGCCACCCCCACCCATAAGTGGGGGACACTGAGGCTTGAGATGGGAAAGGGCTGAGAGAGAGAAAAGGGGTTTTATACCAGGCACCAGCCACACCCCTGGCCTTCTGACTGCACCCTGAAGCTCTTTGGATAGGAACAGCTGGCTTTCTCTGCCCTCCTGAGAAAACAGGACGGCCGTTGGTGATGGCACCTGCTTAAGTCTGGCCACTGGTGACAGCTGGTCCTATGTGTATAACTTGAACTTGACTCAAGACATTTCTAGGATGCTCGCTTGGCGGTTGCACCATTATGTTTCCTGAGGGGCTTCTATTGGGTCCCCTTGCTGGGGGTTGGGAGCTGAAAGCTTGGGACCCATTGGTTACTCTGTGCCAGAGGGAAGAAGCTGATCCCGTGTGGGCTGGAAGCAGCCGCTGTACCAAGGCCAGTTTTGTCCTCTCATCTCAGACAGATAGCGGTGTGTGTGTGAGCGGTAGGTGTGTGAACATTGTGCACATGTAGACAGAGGCGCACAAATGTAGGTGAGTGTGTACAGATGAGTGTGTGTGTGAATGGATGGTGGTGAGCGGAACCGAGCAGCAGGTGTCTCTGGCTTCAAGGTTTCCTGGTTCTGCATTTCCTGTACTTGGGGATGAAGCATGTAGGGTACCACCCTATCCCTTCTCAAGTAGTTTACCTCAAGCTAGTCCCAGGCCCTGCCCAGCATCCTGCTAACACACGGCACCTGATTTAACCAAGTCTTTTCAGGAAGTTCCTGGTCTCCCACTGTAGCCAAGCTTCCCGGAGCCCCTCCTCGATGCCCCTTCCACCCCTGGGCACCGTCTCTCTTGCTTCTCCTAGGTCATCCATAATTATGGTCACGGAGGCTACGGGCTCACGATTCACTGGGGTTGTGCAATGGAGGCAGCCAACCTCTTTGGGAAAATTCTAGAAGAAAAGAAGTTGTCCAGGATGCCGCCGTCCCACCTCTGAGGACTCTAGTGACCGTCCCTTGCCCCATGCCCCATGAGGACACCCCAGTGCCCTACAGCCATTTAACTGATATTCCCTTTGGTGATTCTTCACTCCCTGCCCCCACCCCTTCCCTGGCTCCCTTAGGCAAAGGTGTGAGGTGAGGAAAGCCTGGTCCTTCCCAAGCATCCCATCTGGTAAAGCAGGGCTGCGACACAGGCATGACCTGAGGCCACGTAGCAACCCCGTTCTCACAACAGGACTATACTAAGGCTGGATGTGCTGGGTGGCAGGGTCTGTGCTCAGTCCGCTAAGGAGTGATCTGAAACGTTTGCCTGGAACTCCGATGAGTGACTCTAGACACACTTGCTGTCTTCCTGTAGTGAAGGGAGGAGGGGACACCCGCCCTCAGCATTCCGCTGGTCGGTCCGCTTTATTAAAACACTTTTTGGATACCAGAACTCTCTTCAGGGTTGATCCTAACACACGATTTCCCCTCATCCTCACCACCAGGAAGGCCCTCTGGGAGGAGACTTTATCTAGGTTGTGCATGTATGTGTGAGACCAGGAGAGACGGGGAGGGCTTAGCTCAGGATGCCGAGCGCAGAAGTTAAATGTTCTACCACGGAGCCGAACCCCATCCTCTTGAGACCTGAAATCGATTTTGCTGATCGATTGTATACACGTATGAAGATGTGAGCATCCACGACCATGACACGTGGGGGTCAGAGGACAACCTGTAGCAGTCAGTTCTCTCCGTCCACCCTGCGGGTTCCAGGGATCAAATTCAGGGCATCCGTCCTGGCAGCAAGCCCTTTATCCACTGAGTCCTCTCCCCAGCCTACTGAACATCTTTTGACATTTTATGAAATACGTTCTCATGTGGAGAGAAACTGATGACATCCCACTAATAAATGAACCTTCTATAACAGGATTGCTTTAAACTAGATCACAGGCATCTTGCTCAAGGTCCAGTGGGTTTCTGAGGCGGAGGCTTTGTGGCAGGCCTTGAGCTGCTCAAAAATACTGATCGTAAAAAAAAAAAAAAAAAAAAAAAGTCTGTTCCATTTACCTGTGTGTGTGTGAGAGAGAGAGAGAGATAGAGATAGAGATAGAGAGAGAGTCTTAGTCAGGGTTTCTATGTAGCCAAGGTTGGACTTGAACTCACCATCTTCCTGCTTCTGCTTCCCAGGTATTAGTATGTGGAATCATGTCTAGGTAAAGAGGTAAAGCAGAATCTGTCTCTGTTTCTCTCCCTCTCCTTGTTGCTCTGTCTCCATGTGTATGACAGAGAGAGAGAGAGAGAGAGAGAGAGAGAGAGAGAGAGAGAGAGTGCATGTGTACATACGTGCCTGCTTTGCTTTTAAGGGATCTCATGAAGCCCAGGCTGACCTCAAACTCACCATGTAGCTGAGGGTAACCTTGAACTTCTGACCCTCCTACCTCCCCCTCCCAAATGCTGGGATTACAAGTGTATACTTAACTTTAAATTTAAAAACTCTTAAAGAGTTCATCTTTCTCCCTTGGGTAGAATCTACATCCCTCTTCATTGTAGCCCCTGGAGAACATGCCTGCCCTGACCCCCACTTTCTTCCCCATTAGAGCTGGTTATTTGAGGAAGAAGTGAAAAATGACCAGCTGGAAGGAGAGTGATGCAGGGGAGGGATGAAGAGAGGGGGGAGGGGGACGAGGAGGGGAGGGGGAAGGGAAAAGCAGGAAGGGGAGGGGAGGGAAGGAAGAGAAGGGAGAAGAGGGGAGGGGGAGGGATGAAGAGGGAGGAGAGGGGGGAGGGAGAGGGGGAGGGATGAAGAGGGAGGGGAGGGGAGGGGGAGGGATGAAGAGGGAGGGAAGAGGGGGAGGGGGAGAGGGATGAAGAGGGAGGGAAGAGGGGGAGGGAGAGAGGGAGGAAGAGGGAGGGGAGGGAGGGGGAGGGATGAAGAGGGAGGGGAGGGAGAGGGGGAGGGATGAAGAGGGAGGGGAGGACAGGAGGAGAGGGGAGGGGAGGGGAGGACAGGAGAGGCAAAGGGAAGGTTGCTTGTCACTCAGGAGAGCTGAGCCACCCAGAAAAAACTCCAAGAAATTCAAGATTCCAGAAAATGTGGCCAAACCGGGCAGTGGTGGAGCCCTAGGGAGCCTGAGACAGGAAGATCAAGAGAGTGAGGCTAGCCTGGGCTAGCCTCCAGAAGTCTGTCTCAAATATCCATAATAATAGTGATGATGATCAATGAAATTTTGAATGTCGGATGAAAGGACAGGGGTGAAGGGGTGGACACCAAACTGAGCCCATGAAGAAGCCACTGTGTCCGCCTACTCCCATTAACAGTGCTCAAGACCCCGATACTCAGGAGAGGGGATTGTGTCAAAGCACTTCCTTGGATAGACCAAGTTAGCCGACTTGGGAGTGAACTGTCACAGAACACTGTGACCAATGAACAGACGGAAACCCTGGAACGTCCGTCACCAACGTTTTAATAAGAGATGAACACACAACACACATTCGGCTTCCTTGCGGCAATGTGTGCGTCGAGTGGTGGGTCAGTTTCCTCGGCCTTTGATGGGGCCTGGCAGTTTCCTTCCTGCTCTGCCCTGTGTGTTTCCTCCCCAGATCTCGGGAGAAGACTCGTGGGTTCCGGCGTCTGGGAGTGCGCCTGGACTGCTGGAGAACTACATCCATCCGGCCCTTCCTCCCGAGGCCATGGCAATGGCTTCCCTTCCCCTGTGACATGGTCCTTGTGCCAGGGCGTCCTCCCAGGACCCTGCTTCTGTTGGGCCAGCACTGCCCTTGACAGAGCGGGCACGAGAGGGTGCAGAGGCAGACCCGGAAAGGACAGCGGGCTCCTGGTCCCAAGACTGAGTGTGCTTGCAGTGGGCGCTTCACCCTGGATACCCCTCAGCCTGTGCAGCCATCTACACACAGTGCAGTCCTGAATCCCGAGTGAACCGGGACTTGCCATTCAGCAGGGCTGAGGAGTCATCCAGAACAGAGGGCTCAGAAAGGCCTTCGCGGCCTCGGCAGAGACTCTGGTGTGAGATTCCCCTCAGTGAGGCCCCCAGTCTCCAGCTTCCAGGTTGGGGAATGGGATAACAGCTGTCGGAGGCCATCACCGGGTGGGCACCTGGCTCTCCCCAGAGACACAGCCAGTACCAGGGACTGCTTGGCCAGGACGGAGCTGTTTGACTCAAATTCAGATGCACATTCACCTGCCCAGTTGCCCTGGAGAGACATCTGGAGGGGGCCAGCCAAGGAAGTAGTAGGTGACTCTGGCTCCAGAAAAGCTGCTTGGGCCAGACGCTAGCTCACCTTAATTCCAAAGAAAGCCTGAGGCCAGGGTGCAGAAGAAACCTACTGGACAAAATGGCAGGTGTCACAGGGGTCTGGGCCTGGACTGTATCTGCGGGGATCTTTGGGCGGTGGCTCTCCAAAGGTGTGACTGGGTAACTATGACACCTGCTCAGCTGGTCCTGAGCATCCTGGGACCCTCCCACAATAGCAATTCCCCCGTGCACATCCACAGTGATGTACAAAACTCCCCCCACCACAGAGAACCCCCTGGAGTGAATGCCACCCCATCTTCCTGGAGCGGGTGACCCTCGATGAACATGGCCAAACACGGTGAAGACACAAAACCTTGTCAGTCCACATCAACCCCTTGGGTAAGTTCTTGATGTAGGCAGTGACCATAAGCGGCCCAGCTGGGCTCTGCCAGCTCCCTAGGCTCTGCAACCTCAAAGACCAGCTCAACCCCCAGGGTTATTATTCCTGAGAGCCAGAGTTCGACCTGGGGACACTTTTACTGTTGGTCCCTCGACCAACCATCTCCTGGCCCCACTCCCGGTGGCTGGATTCCTGCAGTCCTCGGCCTTTGGTCTCAATGGGCAAAAAGCAGGAGGCCACAGCCGCCAGGAGGCAGCAGCCACTGTAGACGGCCAAGGTCAGGTACACAGAAGATTCCAGCATCACCTAGGGAGGGATGGAGGTAGATAAGAACATCTCAGAGTCGCAGGCAGGCCGTATGACTGACAGAGGATTGCTGGAGTTCAAGGCCAGCCTGGGCTACAGAATAAGACATATCTCAACAAACAGCCTAAGGAGCATATTCAGGCTCGTATAATGATAGGGCTGAGATTTGAACTCTGGCCGGTTAGGCTTAAGATTCTGTACGCTGTCTGGGTGGTGGTGATGCACACTTTTAAACCCAGCACTCGGGAGGGTAGGGACAAGAGAATCCTGCATCCAAGTCAGTCCCAGATATATAGTAAGACCTTGCATCAAAAACCAAAACCGCTGCTGGACTGTGGTGGCACTCGCCATTAGTCATCAGACTGGGCGGTAAGCATCTCGCTGACCCAACTTTAGCTTTACGGCAATCACATCTAATTATGTGAGCTACTCCTTCAAAGATGATGGAGACTAAAAAGCTGGATATTTAGGCATGGACAGGACTGTTGAGCAGCACGCAGAGTTATCAAATTTGGTAACTCACCCAAATCAGTCAATTCAGAAAAGGAAGACAGACGTGGGGTTTGTTCTTTGGGCCAACAACTCACCTTCACCTTGGCCCTGAACTCTGCCCTGAAGCCATCCTCCTCCCACCCCTGCCTCCCAAAGTAGCTGGGACCCCACCCTCCCAATCCTCTGGTACCCAGAGGGCCTTCTGCACTGGGAAGAGCTGAGGTCTATCCCCGGCACATCTGAGTCTCTGCCTGCCCAATGGCCTTGGGCCCTTTTTCCTCCTGAGGCTCTTCCCTCTTCCCTCCTGGGCTTGCTGGGAAATGCCGTCCAGTCTACAGTCACAGCTGGCCACCTCCTGGGTCTGTATTTGAGGCAACCTTACCTGAGCAATGAACGGAGTAATAAGGGCGCCCACTCTTGCCATGCCGCTGCAGGTGCCCAGGCCCAGCGCCCTCGTCGCCGTGGGGTACACCTGGAATGTCACGGGGGATACAGACCTCACTCACCACTTCCCACTCAGGACAGACGGTGGGAAGGGGGTGAAGGAGGTAGGAGGTTCACCCAAGGCAGAGAGCATGAGGTTGGCTACGGACAGGAACCCATTTACCTCATTTTCTTTCAGTGCTCAGGGAGGTATTGCACAACTGGATCTTCTAGTTAACAATGGTGGTGTTGGGGTGTGGGGAGGCCCTGGGTTCCATCCCAGTGCCGTGGAAAAAGCTGTGTAAACGGTTCAGTGGGGAGAGCTGGACACCATGTATAACACAGGATACACACACATAATTATTGATTGTATGTAGGTGTCTAGCATATGGCTGGTGCTCAATATGAATTGAATAAAGGGATTAATACTATAGTTCTGGTTTTCTCTGCTGGAGAGCTTGAAGAGTTCCATGCTGAAGTCAGCAATGGCAGCTCTTCTGCAGGCTCTGTGTGTAAGGATTCAGGCATTAGGCTGGCCTGCCCCTGTCACCTGGCAGGATACACTCAGGCAGTGCCCTGGTCAGCCCAGGGTTCCATGAGTACAGTCTGCACACAGGTGCAAAGGACCCCTCTAAAAGAAAGACCTCCACCTACTTCTGATCTCCTCCCTGGGGCAGAGTGGACTTTTCCTGTCTCCCTCTTCTCTTCTGTCCTCTCTGTCTCTGTGTCTCTTTACCTCTGTTCTCTTCCTTCCCCCTTCCTCCCCTTATAAATAAAACTTCTCACTTAAGCTCTGTCTGCCTGCCATGGAATCTGCCAAGGTCCCCATGTGCTTTATTTGTAAAACTGCTTATTTCAACCACACCGAATGTGCCTTCTGCTCATCCAGAGCTAATGGAAGCAGGACACGGATGGGGTGCAGGACACGGATGGGGTGCAGGACACGGATGGGGTGCAGGACACGGATGGGGTGCACCATACTCTAAGATGCTTCTGCATGTGCTGTTTTGAGGGTTTCATTTTGTTGGAAAAGCTGTTGGCCCTTGTACACCTTTGTCTGGTTTTCTA